GAAGACGAAACCCACCTCACGGTCGACAAAATTCTCGATACATTGAAAAAAACATTCGGCCCCGGCAGGAGCTCGAACTACTACCGTGGCCAACTTAGCATCACTTACAAAAAACCCGGAAAACACATACTAGACTATATAGGCCGAATAAAGGATTTGAGAACGGCCATTGTTGAAGGAGATCAAACTACTACAAAAAAATGTTCAAGATTAAAAAATTATAAATTGGATTAGAATTAAAAGTAAATTAATAAATCATTTACTTATAAAAAATAATTACTTTTCTGAAATACTATACATAGTTTAAATATGCATCATTTTGGAGTTAATAACTAAATTACTTGAATTTCAAGTAAATATATTTATGACATTAGTAAATACTTATTGTAACCAAAGAATGTAATTTGAAAAATGTTTTAATAAAAAATTAATACTGTAATTTAATAATTAATATTTTCCAGTTACACAATTGTATTAATATGTATTAAAACATGTATTTCTTTATTTAAAATTTTTATTTAAAATTTTTTATTATTAAGAGTATTTTGCAATAACTATATAACGTTATATAGTATGTAACGTTTCGAAATTTACATTACTATTTAGGAACATTATAAAATGTGTTTGAAAAGCGAGTTATCAACGTTAGTAGCATGTTCTATCCTTATTGTATATTTATAATGGTCTGTGGTAATGCGGAGTCGAAAACGCGCAACCAGCGAGTGTATTGTGAAGTATAACTTGTTTTTATTGTATATAAAATAAACGTATCAATATTTGTTATATTTCCAGATGCAGATCCTTACAATTCCCGGAAAACACCCCGGATCCAAAATCTACATGTGTAACAACTATAGTTACTATGCAGATACTAATAATCCAAATCTACTCCGTTGCTCGAAAAGAAAAAAAAAAGAATTGCAAAGCACAAATAATAATAATAGAAGATATACCGCATTTCAAATTTAAGCATAACCATAATGAAGAAAAGTCTAAGGCGAATATACGAAAGGCGATAATTAGACAAAACATAATAGAATTAATAAAAAACAATAAAAGCAACAAATTTAATCAAATATATGAAATGGTCCGCAGCAAGTATTCAAGTGAGGAGGATATAACAGAAGGAAATATAAAAACTTTATATTATCGCTATCGCAGACCAGAAAGCTATAAACACGATAAGTCGAGTAGCGACGCGTTGACCGATGACGAGGAAAATGAAATGCCGCCGATTGGAGACAAAGTTAAGCCGGCGAATCCACTATCTGACTTTTTTTAGTTAAGCTTTTTAATTAAGCTTAGAAAATAATGAAGAATAAGATTTTTAAAATAATTATATCAATTAATTTTTTTATTTGTTTTCGTTTTACGTGTTTATTTTTTAGATTAATATATATATTTAATTTTTTGTATAAAAGGTAAGATTTTGAAATTTTTTGACTCTATATGTATAATTCAGATAAAGAGTTATAAAATTTTAAGATCCTATCTTTTATATAATGAAATAAGAATTAAAATAATAAATTAAAAAATAGGAATAGAATAAATGCATTATTCTAATTTATTTTTGTGCATTTATGCCATCACGTCATGAGAGCATATTGTACATGATTTCTACGATGTTTCTGTCATTATTAGCTGATACGACAGGTCACGTTCTAACCATGCCATATTTTTGATATTACGTCGTGACAACACATTACGCATAATTTCT